TGAAGGGTGTTAATATCTTTTTTTTCTAATATTGTTTGTAGGAGTGGATTCATGTGAGCCCATATCGCATGGGCTTGATGATCCAAATTTACGGTAGCAAACGATTTAGATTGAAAACCATTCTCAAAGTTTCGTATATAATATACGCCCGTATGAATAGAATGAATGTGTAACTCTCCGAAAAGTCTATCTGTATCATTACCTCTTCTTCAGCTAAATTTTCTTTTAGCTCTGTTTTCAGTTCAGTTCAGTTTGTTGTATCTGTAGATGCCATACATATGTTTTTTCATAACTGGAATATCTTCAATAAAAGCCATTTTTAATTCATACAACATAAACAAGATTCTGTCTCTTAATTTTGGAACTACTACACAAAATGGTTTCGCTCTTAATAATGTCGCATAAGACAAATTTATTCCAGTTTCCCTAACGAATTTTGACGTGAGTTCTTTAACTGAGAATAGAAGGAGACGCTTTTTTGTTAATATAGTTTTTCTTTACAAAATCTCTCTTGGCTGGACACATCCGACTGACATCATCTATTTGGAAGAAATCTTTAACTTTTAGTCAAACTTCAGGCTTCCAAAGAGCCTTACAAATTTTGGTATCAGACTTCAGAAGCGATGTAATGGTTCTCTCTTTTGGCAAAAAACTCTTAGCCATATGAAGTAATTCCATATTTTCATATTTCCTCACCATATTACCGCTAACACATTTCTGGCAGATTTCCCTCTCTATGGAATATTCTTGCGCATTTCAGGAGGTATGTTGACATTTTTATCATTACATCAACTTTACTGTTAGAAGTACTTTTTACCTGAACTTTGTCCTCTTTTTCTTTTCTTCTTAGTCTTTTCATTAAAGTTTCATATTTACGTTTAATTTCAGCAATTGTTTTCTCCTGTTGTTTTATTTTACGGTACGTTTAGGCTCCATCCTTACGCATACTTTTTCATCCCACTTTTCTTCTTAGTGAAGGTGTGGCAGCTAAATCATCACCGCAATGTGGTGGAGAATTGTTTGTTATACTTGATAAAGCCTTGTTCTTCTCCCTGTGTTTTTTGATGCATTTTTCAAGATTCCTTTGCTTTCGCTTTTCTCTGTGAGTCATCTGAGTAATATTTTTAACTTTTTTTTCAGCTTTTTTGTTTATGGTAAGCTCTATCCTAGCCTTTTTAATTTCTCTCTCTTCCTCTGTCATCTTATCTAAAAATATGCTTTTTCTGGCATTAGCTTTTTGTCGTTGGCGCAAGTAAGCTGAACTATTTTTGTGAAGGTGCTTTTTCGAACGTTTTTTAATTATTGAAGCATCATAAGACTCCATATTGCTAAAAAAATGAAACATTTATTAAAAACTACGTTAGCACAACATTCACTAAATTATTTAACCAATAGTTGTAACAGATGTCAGTTTGATAATGAAAAAGTCATTTCGAGAACGTCATCATCATTTCGAGAATACTCCGTCAAGTCCGGGCACGTTCTCGAAATGACCGTTCTCGAAATGACTTTTATAAATAAACGCGCCTTTATTTAAAAGGCCGCCACCTTTGACATCATGTTTGGTTTAATTAATGTAAAATACTTGGGATTACTATTCCTTATAGACACTATAATACGTATTTTTCATTCATTTTGAGTTAATAAACGCATTCCCGGTATGATGACCTATTGATGTACGCTCTGTAAATAATGAATCGAAAGGCACTTACCACTTATTTTTAATTATTTTGGCGAGAAACTTTCTTGACAGCCACTTTGTTTACATCTTTCATTACACTGCACCATAAACATCTACAGACCACGTTCAGAAACACAATATTTTCGGGCAATCAAAACTGTGTTCACTCAAATGACGCTTACATTGTCGGACATAATATTTTGACTTAATTATCCTTAGTTTCTTTTCTCTCTTTAATAATGCATATAATTACTTAATAGTTGATAAAATTTAAGGCTAATAAGTAAGAAAAACCATAAAATTTATTTTATTTTATGTATATTTCCGGTGTTAGTTTCTAAAGATTGCTACTTAGGACGCGTTCTCGAAATGATTTTTTGTAGTTATTTCTTCAAATAATAATGAATATGTTTTACTTTTGAAGTATAATATATGAGGTACGGTTAATATGAGCCCTTTACAGTATTTACAAATAATAATTTGTTTAAAAAAAAACGCACTGAGGCAGTTATTTTCAAGTAAAGCTGATTTTCCACCTTGGTGATTTTGACCCATATATTTTGATTTTGAAGAAAGAAGTTTAATTTGTCCTTGAAGTGTCGAGTATTGGTGTTTTTACCTTAATTGTGTATTTATTACTTGTTTCTTAATTATTGTCTTATTTTCAGTACTCTGTAATTAGGATTACTTATTGTAACCGAGTTGTAGAAATTACACTCAGCTGTGCACTCTTAACTCACTCATTTCATGCTTCATTTTACTTTGAGGGCATATAAAAAAAACACTGAATAATATAAAATGTAAAATACATATAATTTTTTATGCATAAAGGACCACTCTGAGTCTGAATGCGGAACCCGAAGACCACAACCAATCCCAATACATACAATTTTCCTTGAATGTGGTAAAAATATTAAGTAGTAATATGTTGTTTTCCAAATATGGTAACAACTGAATTTAGCATTTATTTTAAAAGTTTGTAGGGACTAGCTACCTTCTTAGTTGGTGCTTACAGCATCGCATCATCATCAGCTGGCAAAATTTTATACTTGTAGTACCAGCTGTTTGGGTTCTGTGTTAATGAATGAACTACTACATTACAGTAAATGCTATATACACCGTAATTGTCATACATATCAGATATAATGCCACATATTGTCAAAATTAGTTATAAGTATAATATGTATGATGTGGTAGTAGATATTAATAAATGAATTAGTCAGTCACTCCGTCAGGGCAAGTTATTTTATATGTTCAGATGTTTACTGAATGCAAATACCATGTCCAATAAGTTTATAGTAAATCATACACTTTCCATCAAACTAACTTAATAAACAGACAACTTGACTGCACAGACAGCGTAGTGGTTTAAGGGGTCACCATGCCACTTCCTACTACGCTGAGTGTTGTGGGTTTGATCCCCACATGGGACGTCACGATGTGTGATCTGCAAATTGTCGCTCTGAGTCTGGGTGTTCTTTATGTCCATTTCCATGTATGTTTGTAAAGTCCCTTGCGATATAGGATGTATTCCTAGTGCGGGAGATGTCTATAAAAAAAACTTCAGAAACAATACTGTTGTCAAGTTACAAGGACAGTTATTCATAATGAATAACAGAAAAGTTAGTCTTTAAATATTTTTTTTACAGTTGACAGACACAAGAGAAACAGGCTTATATACCTAATCTATTTCTATTAATCTACAAATAAATCTTAAGAAAAATGCATTAATCTAATTCGTTTAAATCATCTGTCAACTTGCCAATTTTAAAACGGTTAATAATACGCATTTTTACATCCTACTTATTAAAAAAAGAAAAGTTTTTTTGTAGTATAAACCTCAGTAAATGTATATTTCTCATACCCTGGAACTATAAGGGAGACAACCAAGGCGCGAGTAAGCACGAGACACTACTGTTTTACACAAACGAAACTTTCAATGCAAAATTGTTACGTTAGTTTATCAATAAAAATGTATTGCTAAAGTAAAAGCTTTGAACTTAAAACTTACTTAGTTCCAGAGCTTCCGCCGTACCCTTTGTCAATGCTAATATTATGAACAAATGCACCAAGCACAAAACACAAACATAATCACTAAACATATTGACACCAAAAGTTTTTATGGACATTTTAACGCAAAACTAGCGAGGAAAGCTAAGAAATAACTTATTATTTATGAAGCAAGCTCATTATGTCCCATAACTAGGCATTGCACATTATTTAATTCACTAAATACTACGTTAACACCAACACGGCTCACCCTCGCTTGCATGAACAACCGACTAATTATTTTGACTTTTGACGTTTCTCTCCAAGAACAAACCTACCATGGTGTTGCCATTCGTTAATCTGCCTTCCTATCAAAGACTGCTCATCCAAGACAAATGTCATGGTGACGTAGATTAAAAATCTGTAGCTGTAGCAATTCGAGATGCTTTAAGAAAGTTGACGACCTGCTGATATGAATTTAACAATATGAACTGTGTCAAATAGCAGTTTCAATTCCTTTAATCAGATCCTATAATTAAATTAGCATTTGGGATCAGCATTATTAAACTAGATACAAGCATTTGTAGCGTATAAGAAAACCAGCAAAGCGAAAGTGCGAGGTGTTATGCGTTCTCCAAACGGTTAACGATGGTCACTTTCCATCAGGTGAACAGTCTGCTCGTCTGCCCCCTCTAACAAAAAAAGTTGATTATTTAAAAAGCTCTGTAGTTTGGTTTGTTTTTGTTTGTACTTGGAGCAAGGTAAAACATGGTAAATGCTGATACAAAAAATGGTTTTGTACGAAGTTTGGCTGCTGATTGTCAACAAGATATGAACGAGAATAATTTTACAATTTTTTTATTAAAATTGCACATTTATGGAATTTTAAGTTCCTATAATGTAAATGCACATGGCAACTACGTAATATTGTAAAATTTAATAACAATATTATACGAATAAATAGTACAAAAGATAAAAGAGAAATATATCACAAATTGCTTTTTTTCTTTATCACCTTTGCATTTGGGCTGCAGTAACTGCTACAGTAGTCTCACAACTCGTTGTCTTTAAACGCGTTGGATATAAAAACAATTCAGTAGAAAACAACTATACTATTCATTATAGTGTATTCTGGATACACTATATTGAATGGTATAGTATGTGTATATACTATTCTGGATACTAAACAAAAGCATTGCTGATCGCCGAGAATAGAACAGATTACACAATATAATATTAAAATAATATTAAAAGGTATGAATGTAATGATTTTACAACAAAGATTGATAGAATTATTCTTAATGATATGTTACAATTCAACTAGTGTTATTTATCTTTGAAGCAACTTTAAGTTAATTGATTGAAACTGATAGTATGAATCCGACTTCTGACGATCGTGTTCTGGACTTTGAAGATGACCCTGCATTTTGTTCCAACCAGATACGACGATGTGGCAGAACCCGCAATGAAATGCATCTGGTTGAATCTGTAAATAATATAAGGGATAAGTCACGCAACTTGCCAAGGACGTGGTAAATGTGCATTCACATTAAACCACACAAATATACATACAGTAAACCGGTATCAAGCTGTCCATCGGACACAAAAAGGAAGAGTACCTATGAAAACAAAGGCAATTGAGGGAAAAGGGCTTAAACACAAAGGAGTTTCAACTCAGTAAAAATAAATTGACAAAATAACAGTTACCTCTCTTATGAATTCTTCTTTTTCACACGTAATGATTTGAATATGTTTTCCCTTTGGGAGAGAACAGTTATCGATGTGCGCTACTGGTACCTCTGGATATCGAGGCAGAGTAATGCCACATAATAGGCATATCAAACCGTCACCTGACGTATTTTTTGCAAGCAACAAATAGCTCAATAAAGTTAAATAATATTTGTTATTAATCAGATAACCAGAATTAATTTCCGTCACACTTCTGCTTTGTACATGCAATAATGAATGTACAAATACGACCATAGCTTGCCTTGTCTGTGTTGCTGTTAGTTTTTTTTTATGCCGTACTTCTTTGACGTGTTCATTTATGGATTTCAAAGTAAATGGTATTTTTACTTGACAGGGATGACAAAATGCGTTGTTGCTGTAACTGTAAGTTATATTATTATTTTTCGCAATTGATCTGATGACGTCAGTGGAGCTTGGATTATCATTATTTGTGTCTGGATTTGAACTACCACTTTCAAGCGCATTCACATCTTTACAAGCTGTATTTACATGGCTAATTTCTTGCAGTACTGCGTCTTTGTAACCTTCATGGTGACCTTTCACATTCAGTACAACATTTATTTCAGTTGTCTTGTCATATTCGCTTTCATCACTCTCTGCTGAAGTGCCAGCTTTTAAATGATCTGCAATATCTTTTTCAATATTACGTTGATTTGGATAGATATCTATGGAAGATTTTTTAAAGAAAGCGGTCTGTGTCTCGTCCTTATTAACGTTATCATCATTGCCTTCTCTAGTATAAGAGTTAATTTCGTTTTTGTTGATATCGTCACAATATATTGAATTTGTATCTATTAATTTTGCATCGCTATCCTTTTCATCACTATCTTTATTTGATCTTACTTTGCACTTTGAGTAAAGATCAAGGTGGTCAGCATCATTAAAATGTTTGTTCATCGTACTTGAAGAAAGTAGCTTATTGCAAGTGATACAATGAAAACTTGAATTGTCAATCTGAAACCCAAAAAATATTACCGTCTTAATACATTTAAAATAATGATTACTTCACTTTTTATCAATATTCTGCTAATTTTCGGTAGGAATATATCTACAGAAACATAATTAACATTGTCATAAATAAAAAATATTTCTTTGAGGCCTTCAAATTCTTTGATGCACGTACCAACTAGTGCTAACGGGCATTCTCCAATAGGAAATTTCCTCTAGGAAAATCAATGAGTTTAAAACGATTAAGTTTAATCCATAATTATAGTCGCGGAGGCCATAAAAACACGGCATAGTAGGTTGCATAATTACTACGATTCATTTTGATTCAAGCATACATGTTAACGCCTAACAATCATCTGTTTGTGTAGGCCCTGCCGCTACGACGGTACTTAGACCTATTTAATTATTTTACGAAGGAAAAAAAATTCTACCCACTTTTGTATATAAATTGACTGCATGGACGGCATAGTGGTTCAAAGAGGTAACCTATGCGAAGTGCTGTACCTAAGTTCGATTCCTACATGGGACAGCACTTTCGGCGATCCACAAATTATTGTTTTGAGTTTGGGAGTTCTTTGTGACCGTGTCATGTATCCTAAAGTCCCTTGCGACCCATGATCTGTTTCTAGTGCGGGGAGCTGTCTTTTCAAAATAAGAAATAAAATAAGACTTCTTAAGATCCTACATGCATTGTATTGAGGTGTGACGAAGTAGATTGTGCAATTACTAGGGCTCGTGAGATATTTTAGTAGGTGTGTTAAAATTGCGCTACAAAAACCACGTGCATTACCTGTCTGACTAGAATGGGAGTTTAGTTTAATTAGGGCCAGAATAAAAACGAGTACAGTACCTAAGCCTTAATAGAATGTGTAACCCATACTTAAAAAGGAACTCCCAACCGGAGCAGTGCTATTACAAACCGCAGCTTAATATTATAAAGGTTAAAGTTTGTGTGTGTTTTATGTTTGTTATTTCTCCACACTCAAACAGCTGCACCAATTTTGATAAAATTTGGTATGGAGGTAGTTTTATTGGTTGATCTTGAATTATCACGTAGATGCTTTTGATTCCGAAAACGGTGTATTGTTCCCGTCGGGTGTTTTAGTGTATCTGTTAAACCGCCGGGCGCAGCTGGTCTATTCTAAATGTAGCTAACATGTACCACAGCAAATATCACGGCTACGAGTTGCATAGGTTAGTGGTCTCACAACCACTAACCTTGTCAGGTACAGGTACACTCGTAACAGGTGCTGTAGTATTTCCGCCATTTTAACTTGCCCATAATGGATTTGACAGGATAAGAAAGTGGATGCAGGACGACGTATGAAGTTTATACGTTGACAAAACACAAAACCTGGGTCTCAATTCTGCTATTTTATGTTCACGCCAAGCCAGTGTCATACCACTGACACGCTATTGAAATGCCATCGAGTGGCCATTGGCATCGGTATAAATATCGGTAGTCTACACTAACTCAGTGTCTGTACAGTGGCGATGGAATGGCAGTGGCTCATCAGTGGTGATATCAAAAAGATTGCTATATTTGTAAAAATAAATAAATCATTTCCTCAAAAAAACGTAATATATTTTCAAATTATAAGGAAATGATTTCACTATCCGATGTATTCCACAAAATAATAGATGTATTTGTGAACCACTAGATCGTACAAAAACAATTAAATACTTGGAGGTAATTATAGACAAGAGAAGAGAAATCTCTCAACGGACCATTTTAAAAACTTCAACTTTTAAACCGTTTCGACAGTACCAACAATGTACTCTGTGGACAGTACTCTTAGAGAACCGTTAAACAGTAATCGTAGACAAGGTTTGTGGGATACAAACCTTCTTACGATTACTGTGAGGTTCTCTCGGTGCGGCAGATTTTTCTCCCTTAATGTGGTAATCAGACAGCACGCTACACTAAAATATACAACTAAATTCACTGATAAGCATAGAAGCCACATAGTAGGTATATGTGCGCTCGGTGCACCCTAAAATATCTTTTATGCATAGGTTTTACCCTTTTAACGATTGAAAACTTGCTTACAAAAATAAAAGAACTGTGTTTTACACTTTATTGTGGGCAAATAGTCATAAATACCAACCGTTTTCAATCGAAAATAATTGGTTTCGATTTTAAACGTTTTTTTTTATCGTTTTAAATGGATTGGTTAAATTGTTTTTTTACCCGCCTTACATCTATAGGTAGCACTATCTACAAGATTTTAACTTTTTTATCGAGTACAGGAAAGTGTTCTTCTAACACATGGTGACCTCCTCAGTCGGCATCCGGTTGCCTCTGTTAACCATATATCTAGACCTCCGGGCCCAAATAGTGAGACCTAGTGCAGTGCAAACCTACAAGCTTGTTGTAGTTGTTGTAGATTTTCACAAAAATTGAACTCCTATATCCAATCTACTGTCAAGAGTCTACTGGCAGTATTCAGTGTTCCGAAATGCAAGGCAGGATGTTCGAATTGGCTGACTTCGTTCAGTAAAAATGGTGGTGATCTTTGGTTTCCGTATTTCGACTCAAGAACGGTCCTTTATGAGTCGAGGTAAGATTGGCTAGTTGAGCCAACCCAGCTCCTACCAGAAGCACAAAGCCTCCTGGGGCGTTCACAGGCTACTAGGAACTGATCGTATCAGGAATGAAACTTGCTTGTTGTGAGGCTACTCCCTTACATTTCAGGTTTACGTGAGCGACCGTTTCTTTTGCTTCGAGTCATTCTTTACAACAAGTAGTACCAATCGCATTGATGGTGAATATTTGACGATTCAAGGCTAGGTACTCCGTTATAGTTCCTACAACTATCCGAATCTCTGGTATGCTTCAATCAGCACCATTTTGGACTGCCGGCAGCCGTGCGTGTTTTTCCACCTTCGGTTGTGTCCTTCACGCCTATCACCCAGAAGCGAAGCTGGGTGAAGGACTGTAGCAGTAATATGGTTGGGCTGGCAGAAGCGATTCATCTATGGCACCGTTTCAGTGTGAATGACTACGCATTTTAGTCCATTAGAGTAGTACCTTATTAGTTGTGGCTAGCTGCTCCAATGACAGGTGGCATTTAAAGACTATAACAGAGATCATTCCAGAGATCACGACGATAACAGAGATCCGACCTCCTCTATCATTTGCAATAAATTTTTTTGCTAGTAAAGAGGCACAAGCGACTGGCAAGCTCAACTCGGGCATAGACAGCCCGTACAATGTGGTTAGGGCACTAGGCGACTACCAGCTGGCTCCTATGGCAAAGCGACTTAAGCTACGGCAGAGTTGAGTGCCATGTGCGAGGGGAGTGGACTCCCGAGACGTGTGCTGCATTCTTCAAGAGTGACTTCTTGTAGGCCTGATGATATATGCCTTGCCTATGTTTTTATAGCTGTGGAAATAGTAAGGGATAGCTAACGTCATGCTTCCTCCCTGATTATTATTTTGTAGTGCCGTGAGGTACTGAAAGATGTGCTAACGTCGTGCCTATGTCTCTCAAAACAATAGGCGTCGGAGATAGCTAACATCGTGTTTTCTCTCTGTTTTGTGAATGATATGCTAACTTTGTGCCTCTGCTATGTGGTGCGAGATATGCCTATGCCGTGCCTATGTGCCACACGTTTGGTGATATGTCGAAGTGTTAGGACTTATCGTTTGAGATTATTAATGTTACTGCGTTAATAATTTTAAAATGTTACTAACTTTTGTAATGGATCGAAGTCTCTTTGGTGACCTAAGGCCCGATCCATATTTCAGTTCTGGTAAACACTCTTAGTGTCCCACCGTCATATCGCACCCTCGGTGCAACAAAGTCACAAGTAGGCAAAATTGCCAAAATGACTTAAGTATGCCAAATTGTCTATAAACCATTTCTTCGTTTGGGAAATCAAAGACAGCCGCGAAAGTATTTGAATATATCTATAGATAGCATTAGTGCCTTTGTCGTTCTTGCTACTTTTTCGACGAATATTGGGAGAACAGAGTATGATTGGTAAGTAGTGACCCCGCGCCCGCGTGAGTCAGTCGTGACTTGGAGCTACACCGGCTTAAAGGTATTAATGACAATTTTTATTCACGTATATTGAAATAACAAAGTGCCATTATAACGCTCAAATAATTAAAATATATTTGTACCTGGTGCGATATAGTCACAACTTACGACTTTTTTTTTTGTTTCCTTTTTTTTTGAATTTTCTAATAAAATCAAAGAAATCTTTTTACATGATACTGTATTTAAAAGAACAAATAATATAATTTTAATGAGATATCCCGGCTGCTGTAGGTAGTAATATAGAAAAAAGGAAAATTGATCGAAAAAAAACTTAAAAGTCCGTTCCTGTAAAATTACAAAATGACCTGTTGTGACTTTGTTGCACCGAGGGTGCGATATGTTTACTGCAAATTCACGGTGGGTCGAAGAGCCTTTGGTGCAAACCGAAGACGCGACCGCGATGGTTTTTTTTGTCGCTTGTGCTGTGCGGCCACATCGCCCTGTCACAGTATGAATACATTAGTTACCATCTAACATAGACACAACTCTACTAATTTATATAACATCCGGGCTTCAACCGACACAGGGTTGCCCAGAACACTATGACAAAGGCTGATATTCATACCTCTCGAGACCCGTAAATGTTCCCTTTGAGTTCTGTTCCTTACACATTCAAAAATAATGTTTAATACATCATCGGTCACACCGCAGGCCTCACAGGTTGGATAATGAGACTTTGCCTATTAAAAATACGAATTTCTTAAAAGCTATATGACCTGTTCGCAACCTTAAGGCAGTTACCAAAGATTTCTATTAAGTTCCACGTTTTCGTACTTGCGGCTGTATTGTACGGTACCAAATACCTTTCTCTCTCGATCTTTGTACTCACAATGTGCATTATAGAGATATTGGAATCAATCCTAATTTTGATTCCGACCGCGACCGTTTTAATTGATTAAATGTTCAACGGTGTGTCAGCTGCCTCAATCATGGCGTTGAAACATGCGCTGACCTATTTGAGAATGAATTCTTTTACTATTTCTTTAACCTTGATGCATTAAAGAAGCTGATCGTGATCAAGTTCGGGGCGCCCTTTAGAAGTATGCACTGCCCAGCGACGCGGTATGCCCTCTGCGTTGTATCCGCTCAACAATGGCGTCTGTCGCCTGGCGTGTGGGTTAGTCCCAACGGCGTCTATCGCCCTACGTGTGGGTTAGTCCCGATGTTGCCTGACGTGTGGGTTAGTCCAAATGGCGTATGTCGCCAAATGTGTACAGAAATCCGCTCCAAAAGTGTGCAGGCTGACGAAGATGCCCGGCACCTAAACCGCGTTAGTCGCTGTGGGGCAACGATATAGGGCGGTAAAATGCCTGCCGTCTATATCTATACCATTGCCATATTCAAATCAACGCTCAGAAATCTTTCAGACCAGTGTAACTCCGACATGTACCTTTACCCGCGTATGAATATCATTTCTAACGTTCCAGACGATGAAACTGTCGTTACTGATGCCAGCCAGCCTTCGAGCGGCCAGCCTTCGAGCATCCAGCCTTAGCAGCCGCCTTTGCTCGATATCGACGCTCCGCTAGGGAAGCTATAACACTCCTATATTAAGTCGAGGACGACTTGGTGTCAGGAGAGGCAGTGTTATAAGATACGCCTATAAAAGGCGATCCGAGCACGGTGTCATCCTTTCATCGCTCGCCGTTCGTCGAAGTAACATCGCCTTAGGATAGACCTATGATTTTGTGTTATATTGTGTGTGGTGACGGATTAAGAATACGAAGTGTCTCCGCCCCATTCATCCCGTGGGTGTCGTAAGAGCCGACTAAGGGAGCAAACTACGCAGGACAACAGCACTACAAAGAGAAGGAAAACTAAACATAAACCCTATACCAACCCGTCTGGCCAGCGTGGTATAGTAGGCCAAAACCTTCTTTCTAAGGCCTATCGACATCGACATCTTCGACTATCGACCTTCGGTCTATGTCCAACAGTGGACTATTAAAGGCTGTTGATGTGATGATGTGATGTGTGTACGAATACGAAGTGTAAGAAATGGACGATTGTTACTTTGTTCATAAATTAAAGCGATTAGATAGATAGATAGATAGATAGATAACTCTTTATTTACACACTAAATTACAGAGTTTCAAGAAAGGAACACAACAATCAAATATCGAGTGTACAAAGAGCGGCCTTATTGCTAAATGCAATTTCTTCCAGGCAACCTTAGGCAAGCGATTACTGTGTTGGCCTAAAATAATTATGTAATTCTTATAAATTAATTAGATAACCTTGGTTTGTAATGTTTAATCTTATTTTTAACCTCTCCGCTTTTGAAATATAACAATAATTTATTTGGTCATTGCTCAAACCATATACATATTTATATTATTTATTTAAGATAACCTGTTTCTTCTTAACTTTTCATAAAACTTTCAGATTCCCTCATTCCTGACCTTGTCTATCCGAGTCACACCACACGTTTATCTCAGCATTCGCAATTGGCCTACGGTCAGGCGTCTCTCATCCGTTCTCTTATTGAGCCAACTTTCAGAACCATACAGAATTAAACACTCTATTTGTCACATATTATAATGATGAGCAAAGACTTACTGGGCGATAGATGGCGTCATTTTCTCCAAATTTGACAGGCCTTTGTATAAGACTCAGAGCATGGGAAGCATTCTGTTTATGTAGAACTTCATCTTCAAATTCAGTGACACAAATACAGCAGACGTTGTCAATTATGCCATGCCAAGCGCGTTCTTCAATATGGACATTATTAAACGCAATAACACCACGACTCAAAGATTTGAGTAATTTACGACCTCTGTTTTGTTGGTGATATTCTTCGCACAGATGTAGATTAACATGCATCGTAGTTTGCATCAGCTTATTGCAAAATTCGCAAAAATATCCGGCTTTCAACTGAAAGTTTAAAGTTTATTCAGAGGTAACAATGTTAACCAAAACGCGTAAGATGTATTATGTATGCGAAAATATAAATTCTTAATTCATTTTCTTTCTCTATAGAAGGGGTAAATATTCAAGTGAAACTGTGACCGACAGAACAACCTTTATTCTTTGTTCTGTTGGTATTCCTGTCGCCATTAGAACGGGTTTGACTTGAATGTCGGTGCAATTACCTTATAGTGCTTTGTTATATTACTTTGATACGTAAGCTCATAAACTGTTGAAAGCCAGTGTTAAAGGCTTTACGTACTTACACTTTACGTTACAGGAATGAGTTTTAGATTGGACGAAGGACGATACTAAGGTTCCCTTGGCATGAAAAGTTTTTCTAGAGGTAGGTAATCATAGTTTCGTACAAGCATAACTATGGAGAAACATAAGAAATTTTACACTTTAAGAGTCTAATGCAGGTTACAACCACTCACCTTTCTAATGTACTGATTGTTAAACTTCTCTAAATAAGGCACCGCGCTGAGACTCTCACAATGCGAGGAGGTTTTGATGTGACAGAGGGCTTCTTCCCTGTTCTCTAGGAAACAGGTCGCACGCTAGACAGAAACAGTTCAAGGTGCCCGTGATTATTGCGCTACGATGCAATTCGTACGGCATGGTCTAGAATAAAAACGTGAAAAGCAAATATTGAATTTAGTTACTATCATGTACGCATCCAAGTTCATAGCACGCATTATTTAAACATTTTAGCAATAAACATGAAACATTCGAAACATGATAATTATGTTTCGGCTAATTATATCACGGCCTCACTGAAAACCGGTGAAAAGTATTTTTTTCGAAGCCCAATCGACGCCTCCCCCCCTCTCCATAATTTATAGAAATAATGAAAAAAAAAATACAATTATATATAGATTTGTTTTGAACTAGGAACTCTCACGGGCAACCTACCAAAGTTAGAGGACAAACATACAAACATTGATTTCCGTTTATATACATAGATAATGTAATAAAAGACAGAAAGATAACAAATCTAACAACAAGTGCACTGCTGATATACGTACGAGTAGTTCCGCGAAAAATAACGTCAAACAAGCATTACGAGTACGAGTATATGCACAAAACACGATCAGGATAGTAGATATTTTAAACCTAACAAATCCTGTCAAATGATTTCACATAGGTAATAATAATATTGAACAACGCCATCTAGTTTCAAACTAAGCACAGCAATAGCAACGAAAATCTTATTTTCAAACGTACAAATACTTTTATACTTTTTTTTGTAAATACGTACATCTCGTAAATAGAAAACACCTAAACCCCCAAACAAATGTTTGCAGATCAAAATGACGATAATGCTTTCGTTGCTCTTCACTGAGTAAGTGAGGTTACTGGAGACACCCAAATGTCACTTACTATCAGGTGACCCGTCTGCTCCTTTGCACCTTCTCCCTCCAAGCCTTTTTCCCAAACTAGGTTAGGGCCGGCTTTAAGTCTACTTCGATAGGCTGAACTTCACTTCAACAAGTAGTATGCGATTTAGAAGTTCTGTAGAAAGACTGTTGTCTGACTTTTTAGGGCTCTAACTACTTGTAAACATTGCCGCAGATGTTCGTATGGCTACTCTCAAAAAAAAAAGTGGGTCTCAATGTGTTAAAAATGGTCACCAATCCACATACTGACTTGGCTAAGATCGCTTAATTTTGCAACGCGTTAACATAATCGATTACCACTTAGCCACGAGCCCCTTATATTATTAAAAAAGTAAAAACATGATTGTTTCCAGACATTTAACTAGCAAAATTGTTGTTCAGGAATTCAAAAACTGACACATTTGTTATCTTTAAAATAATACATACTTATCACAAGCTAACTATTGAAAATAAACCTAATACTCAACTGGATGAAAATTAAGAAACCATTTTATAATTTTTCTATAGCCAGTCATATATGTACGTCACGTATAAAAAAAGTCGGACAGTCTCGCTAACAAAAACTTGTGTCACTCATAGTCGGCCAGCTAGCTGAACGTACAGGTCGGTACGCACACATTAGTCGGCCATTACGCTCGCAATCATCAAGACAGAAAAACGCATAAATATTCAACATGTTTTACGTAGTGAAATGCTGTAAAAACCGTACTAACCGAAAGAAAAATAATCCAGTAATCACGTTTTATAGGTAAATAAATAAATCAATCACTTCCTTCTATCAATTAATCATTTTAATTTAAATAATTAAATAAGAACACTCACTCACTATGTCCAGCAGTGGACTAGTATAGGCTGTTGATGATGATGATGTGATGACTCACTCTTTCGACATTATTTAAAACAATTATAGATCAGCAAAGCCTAAAAAACGCGCTTAAAGGTGAACCTAATTAAAAATTAAAAGATGAGATGGAGATGGAGGATTGTCCATCTGCTGGCTTCTACACAGTTTAAATTCGATACGACATTTAATATTTTATCTTAAGATACAATATCGCTCGCCATACTATTCAATGGACCATTACACACGATGAAGATAATATTTATTTCATATTTTCGTATCATAAGATAGAGAAAGTATGGCGAGCGATATTGTATCTTAAGATAAAATATTATAGTATCTTAGCCGTGTGTAGCGCCCCTTAGATGTAGGTTTAAACTTCAAATATTTGTTTACGTAGTTACAAGTGAAACTAATAATAGCAATGAGTCATAAAATACTTTCCACAATAAAAGTGCTTGATTTTTTTTACTAAAACTAGATCCGTCTTCTTCGAGGTCCGTATTAGATCTACTTACTTACTTACTTACTTATCTATTTACACAACTACATATCAACACAATACACTTCAACCTTCAGAATAGGTATATCATTCCTTTTCCTCAATCGTTCTTGAAGCAGTGTTACCATATCTATAATCATTGGTATGGTATGGTAGGACCATTACTATTTCACGGGAAAGAATGCAAGAAGTTCATTCAAAACGTTTGAGTAAATTTATATATAATTATTTTATTTGGAAATTCTGTTTTATTAATTCAAATATCGCTTTTGAAAGTCATCCTAATTATATTTAAAACTGGATGTAAGTAAAATAGGCTTGATCAAAGCATAAGAGACGAAATGTTAATTACATACTACTAATAATGAGATGCAACATAAATAAAAATCATTAAAGCTTTTCACATCATATATACACTACCTATTTTTCTATACTTTAAAAATTTCATGGGATTAGCACCATTACTTATGCCAAATATTCGATAATGGCAACATTAGTCTAGATTCGGGAATTCTGCAAATGTCTACTCTTTGTACAATAAAGACAGTCCAAATACGAGTAGATGAGGCAAGACATAGCAACCGGTTCATATAGATTCAATGACAACGTACTCGTATAATGCTCTTTAACGATATTTCGTGTAAACCGAATTATTTTAATAAAATTTATTGCTTTATTGGTAAATAAAAATAGAAAATATTATATCTTTTAAATATAATATTACCACCTTAGAATATTCTTCAAAGTCATTATAACGAAGAAGTTAGGAATTATTGTGATAAGAAAATCATATGTTGGACAGTGCGGGAACGTGACCATACTTTTCACCGTACTTTAAAATTGCCAGTATAGAACAAAAAACCACACAGTGAAACAAAAGATAAGCAAAATTACATTCACATCGGACTTTAGTAAAAGCTACCAAATTCGTATCTCTTTTAGACACACTATTTTTATTCGCCTTACTTTTCAACTACATGCGATCTTCCTTAACCTATTCATTACCAACAAAACATCTTCCATCTGATAAGTTATCAGTAACCGATAAGTTACAAATGATAATGATGATGTCCTCCCAGACGTATCCGTCGACGGCGACACCCTGTCAGCTTTCGAGCTCCGTTTACGCTCATGCGCCCGTACGTGACTCGCAAAACCGAATTTGGTTTTGAATACACGGTCACATGAGGCACAGAGAAGCTCACCCCGCGTATTGTAAGTGTAGTTATAGGAGGGCTTAGGCTTAGTTATCAGTGATAATTCATAGCTACACTTATTAGTGCTTTCTCACTTAATTCATTACATTCAAGACTAAGTTTCCCTTTGTATTTAAGGAACTTTACTTTAATATGTACATTATAATATTATATGTTTTATAGATATAATTGATATTATTTGCCTATGTCCAGCAGTGGACTATTTAAGGGATAGAACATGATGATAATAGATAAAATTATAAAAGAGACACCAACTTAGTATTGCCATTATAATTATATCCAAGGAGGATTAGACTTGACCTTGTTAGACTATATTATTATTTTTTATCTTATCATTTTTTTTATTAAATGACAAGTTTGACAATTGTCTCTGCCGTGTCACGCGTGACATATGGATGACGATTATGATTACTTTTGTTATGCTACGAAGATGTGAATAAACAATAATATTTACTATATTTAGTACTGCCATCCTCCAATAAAACATTTCTACTAACATAAAATATTTTTTATTTTTCTCTTAACTGCAGGCCTTAACAATAAACTCAGGACTTTAAAAATTGTATTATGCTCTATATCATTGTAATTTGAGCCACAGTGGATTTTATTCGGAATAAAACACCAACGTCCATCCTAAAGTCGACATCTCCTTTAATAATAAAAAAATAATGTGTATGTATGTTAGATCCAATTTGAATATTATGTCTAAACTGTATGTGTTAACGACTTTGTAAATTTGAAATTCATAGTGTAACAAATGTTTGCCAATGACACATGCAGAGGTTCAAAAAATATGTTTTTTCGATTCTGGACGGAATTTAATGAAATCTGGCGGAAACTGATGATCATTGCCATTAAAAAAGTTGGAACTGACGAGATCGGGAAGATACTTTTTTATTGCAAAACAACTTTGTAAACCGTTTTTTTTTCAGTTATCTCGCAATATCTCGGCAATAAGCATAGTAGCATAAAAAGTTAAGGACGAAAGTTATTCAGCTGATGATTTTACGTAGGTGTTAAGTACTTTCAAGAGTTGGAAAATATATTTATTACTTCTTGCACAAATAGGTAACATCGGAGGACTTAATGCCTTTTTTCTTTTGGTGACGAGGTGAAAAATCCCTTCGGATCTCCGGCTCCTAGGGAACGCAGGAGCCAGAAGTTTGTAGTGTTTCCACTAAAGACCACCCCCGACGGCCGGCCTCAGGCGCCCTACCCTTTGGAGGACCCGGACCATGTGATTGCAGGTCCCACCCGTATCGACGTCGCAATCAGGCAGTTTAATACCAGGCTAATTTTAGTCGTGGTCAAATTAGTTGCGATATGTCATTGCGCCGCATCACGCTTCGATGTTTAATAATTTGCAAAAAAAGGTATCGCTCGACTCTTATTTTTTTTGTGTTTTTGAAAACAGTTTTTAGATTGATAGCTGCCAGTAGGCAAGTCACTATCTGTTAATTGAAGGCATATTTCTTTTGAAATTTGTAAGCCTAATTTAAGGTTATATTCAGAGCTTCGGACTCAGTGGCTATTGTTTAAAATTTTTGGTTCTCGGGGAAAGTATGCGAAGTGATGAAGTGTTAAAAATATATGTATATGTTGTGTATTTAACTGAATATTTTATTTAAATTTATTATTTGTTTAATTGTTGCAGAGTTTGTTACCAGGTTTTAATAGGTTTCCTCTGGTTTAGGCGCAGGATGTCCAATTCGCAAAATTTCAAGCGGTCGTAGAATGTCCAGTTCATAGAATTTCCAGTTCTCAGAATGTCCAGAGGGCCTAGTGTAACGTTATTTTACTTTTGCTCGATCTTCACGTTCGATGATTGGTCCGAACTAAACTGTTCACGAATCACAAGATTGCAGAACCAATAATCTGTTCGTTTAACCTAACCTGCCGTTATGATTTCAGACAATTAGCCTTTGGGTACATGTCATTCGAAATTAAGTAGTAATAAGTACGGATAGCGGACTGCCGGTTATATTGTCCCTCGACTTCATAATAACTAACCCTGAGGTTTATGTACCTATGTAGTATGCCAAAGAAAATTAAGATATCTAAACTAAAACAATATTTTTTAGGCTTTGTTTAATTTTTATTTACGTTTAAACTTTAAGGTTCTATGTTGTGCAAAAGTAGTAAGTGTGTTTTTTTTAATGTTATGTTGGAATATTCGTTATCTATTTGTTATCGTTATAGCTTTGATTTGTATGTATATTATAGACAGTCTCAAGATAACACAAGTATAAACCTTGGCGGTTGTTTACTTGCTATTTAGTGATTGTAATTATTTTTGTAAGCTATAAGTAGCCATATCAAATCGACGACTTCTGAAGGAAGCAAAGAAAAACTGTTTCGTTTTGCATCGAACTTTTGATTTATTCAAAATGTATACAAATTAATACGTATTGTTTGAATTTAATCATTACGTTGCATTTGTCAAACGAAGCGTCTATTCTTCGTGGACAGCGGCAATAAACAAGATATAGAGAAATACCATGGTATTATTCATCTTCCAACAACAGAAGAGCGTGCAGTGGCAGCATTCCACACAAAACACCATGGCAAAGTCTTGAATTGAATTTTAGTCGGTCATGATCGCGACCCTGAAGATGACTTTCCATCTCGCTCCAACCAGATATGATTACATTGCAGTGTCCACAGTGGAATGACTCTGGTCGAATCTGTCAATAAACAATAATAATAAGTCGATTCATCTCACACACAGCCATCTGGTCACTAAGCCAGTGCCAGACACGGGACAAATGATCGTGCGTCGTCACATAATTTATTAGACCGCGTAAAACCCGAACAGACAACCTCTGGCTCAAGTCAGGATCATTAACTAGTAGACCAACAGGCCAGTCAAAAAAAGAATAAAGTAGGAATACAAAATTATAGCTAATAGTTTGCGGTTAAGCAGCAATTGAGTGAGTGGAGTAACGATTTCCGCAAGATGGCTGGCAGGAGCTGCATGCGAGAAGCCCAAAATCGATCTAAGTGGCGTGCAATCGGAGAGCCCTATGTCCAGCAGTGGATTGCGATAGGCTGATGATGAAGCAGCAATTGCCCGATGTGGCAGTAGTTCACTGAGACTAATGATGGTGTATTAATCATGTCCTATATTAAGTGATTTATACAATAAATATAAGACTTCATCACTGAGGCCACTATCCTTTTACCTAGTAGTCGTTATCTATCAGTAGTACATAATCATTTCAGTATCAGTGAAAGGAAACAGATACACAATCATGACATGAGGTCACTGGAATGTGCAAACAAATAAAAAAAAGCAACTAAAGTTAGCTTACCTCTCTAATAAATTCAAGTTCATCAGTTAGGATAACTTGCAATTTTTTTCCAGATGGCACTGAACATGTTTTGACATGTGTATTTAAAGTATCTTGACTCACGATATTCTCGCACAACAAGCATTCAATATATGTATCACCTTTTTTATGTTGAAATAATAAGAAGCTGGATTGACTTATTAACACTGTCTCATTAATCATGTAACCATTAGCAAAGGGTGATTTCACGACTGCAAGGGAACGTATATATTTTGTTACAACCTGCTTGCTTTGAGAGTTTTTTACTTTTGCTTTCTTTGCTTTAAGATTTCTGTTATGTGGCAGACCTCTTACATGTTCTTTCATAGATTTTAAAGAAAATGGCATTTCAACTTTACAGGTTTGACAAAATGCTTTGCCACCGTTTAAATTGTAAGTAATATCATTATCCTTCGCGAAGTCACGTACTTCAATAGAGTTACGTTCGTTATTGATTTCTTGGTTTACACAATTATTTTTAGGAGCAGAGTTAATATTTTCTACATTTATTTCATTTTGTTTAGGTTTAGTACAATATTTGGTTCCACTAACGTTCGCTGGGTACAGTGCAACAGGTGAAGTTGACCGTTTAAGGTTGGAATGTTCTTCAATATGGTTTACAATGTCGTTATAGTCAAATTTAATGTGTACCCGGCACTTTCTGCAAAAAGCAACTTCTGTCTCGTAATTTATGTCAATGTTGCTGCATTGTAATGTTACTTCACGGTGTGTTATTAAAGACGTGCCACGTTCTTTATTACAAGAACTGTTTTGCTTTTTATTATCCTTGCTATCGGTATTATTGGATAAGTTTGTTGTTTGTGAAAAATCCTCATTGATGTCTTTCTCATCTTTCAATTCTTTGTATTCCTCAATTTTACACATTTTATAAAGATTAATGTGTTCACCGTCATCGGAATGTTTGTTCATCGAACTTGAATCTAGTAAGATGTTACATGTGAGGCATTGAACAGTTGAATTGTTAATCTGAAAGCGAAAAAATGAATAAAATAAGTAAAGTAAATATTGACAATTATTTTGGTGATGTTGTAATATAATTGCAAGGCACATACAATATGAATTTTTAATGAATCAGCTATAGCCAACATTGATCAGATTCAAATTAATTCTGATAAATTTTTCAACCACGCTAAAACCAAATAATAACTTGACACACCTTACACACAGCTGTCTGATCCCAAACTAAGCTGAACCTTTACCATGGTATAGTCCGATGCAAACTTAATGGCGGCTCGGAACATCGTGCATTTCGTTGCGCAGAACACAATAATGACAGCAGCGAGACCTAAAGTAGAGCGGGGCCAGGGCGACACACGACACGCATGCCTTTCAGTGTGTGAGTTACGAGTACAACCGTACACTGCACATGCGTGCATAGTCCTGGGCCTCAATTCTGCTATTTTATGTTCACGCCAAGCCAGTGTCATACCACTGACACGCTATTGAGATGCCATCGAGTGGCCATTGGCATCGGTATAAATATCGGTAGTTAAAAATATATTAAGTTTTTTGAGAAAATGATTTTTTTATTTTTATAATAATAAATTATTAAAAGAAATAAATAAATTAAATTAAATTATTATGCTACCTACAGGTACCTACAGTCAAGTCGACGACACGCAATTCTTCCATCTTTTCTTTAGTCTATCTTTTAGGCAAATAGAAAATAAAATAGCTACTTACTTGTCGATAGATGTCGTCGTTCGCTCCAAATTTAACTGTTCCCTGTATCAAACTTAGAGCGTGCGAAGTGTCTGATTTATGAAGATCTTCGTTTTCAAATTCAATCTCACAAATATAGCAGACTTTGTCCATTAGACCATGCCAAGCGCGCTCTTTAATAATTATATTATTAAATGCAACAACTCCACCATCCATGGATTTTAGTAAATTGGTCCCTTTCTTTTGTTTATGATGGTCTTCAGCCTCGTGTAGTTTTAGTTGGACAGCGCTAGCCATCAATTTATTGCATAATTCACAGTAATATCCGGCATTAAACTGTAATTAAATAATTATCTTTTAAAGTAACACCGACTTACTCCTGCGTCGTGATTCATAATAACACATCTTAACACATCTCACACACGGCAGTCTGATCTCAAACTAGGCAAAAGATAAAGATTTGTCTTCCTCTACGGTCAATTTAGCAGAAATTTGTATTTGAATATCGTTTAATTATTATACAGTTACAGATAAGCTACATCCAGATTCAGAACAAACGATCTTGCTTATCAAGCAATTATTTGTGCTGGGTGGGAATCGAACCCCCGACCTCTGGCTTAGCAATCACTAACCATTAGATCAACAAGCCATTCCAGTTGTAATAAACTGATTATTTATTCTTTTCTTTTCATCCTTAAGAGTGGAACTTTACTACAAACTTGAATGGGACCAATGGGAAAAACCTTTCAAGTATAACAAGCATTTCCAATGATGGTTCATAAATGGCGAAGTATTGAAGTGTCACAAAAGAAAACTAAGCCGAATTGTCTTGTTTTTTTAGCCGGTTGTACACAATCATCCATTAAAAAGACGTATACTAAAGAAGACTGAGGATTCAAAACTTTTTCGTGTAGGTAGTTCAAACTCAAACTCAACTCTCTTTATTTTATAAAATTGTTTGAAATCGTCTTTTATGTAGACTAAAGTCATAGATCAACACACACAAAAGCAACAATCTCTGTTTTGTCAAATAGTAAGCAAATAAATTTAACAAAAATCAAACCCATACAAAATCTATGATATGCCTGTGCCGATCTACAACCGCCCGTTTCCAAAGGGTTGAGCCTTATGAGAAGAAAGGGCAAACAAACTCATGGCCTCAGTTCATAGTTAACTTATAAGACATCCAACCTTTTTTCTGTACGATGTAAACATACTGCTGTATATTTTAAATATGTATTTTAAAATAATAAATATATAGGTATTTGAAAGGTTTTATAAAATATGCACATAATTTTAAACTTAGATTATTTATTATATAAGGTCAAATAGGTACACAATTCGAATTTCGTATTGTGTACCTATTTGATATTACATATTACATTCAACATAATATACGTATCTCCACTTTATTTTTCTGTTTTTAATTCTGTTTCTATAATACCAACCGGCAAACTCCTTAATGTAAAGTATTATTAATAATAGTCCTTAATAGTAGGCCAGAACCTAATTTCTAAGGAGAGGCCTATGTCCAATAGTGGACTATTATAGGCTGTTGATGTGATGATGATGTGATGTGAAACTCCTTAAAAACTCCTGAAGTGGACTAGGCTGTTAGATAACACGAGTCCGACGAGTGCGACGACCTAAAGTACGGAATGGCCCATTGCTACCTAATTAACCTGCTTGCACCTTACATTTTTCTGTAGTCAATTGTTAACACTCACCTTTCTAAAGTACTGATCCTTAAACTTCTCTAAATAAGGCACCGCGCTGAGACTCTCACAATGCGAGGAGGTTTTGATGTGACAGAGGGCTTCTTCCCTGTTCTCTAGGAAACGGTCGCACGCCAGACAGAAACAGTTCAAGGTGCCCGTGATTATTGCGCTACGATGCAATTCGTACGGCATTGTGATCTAGACAAAAATACAAAAATGGTTAGTTAACTTTAAAAAAACAGACTTCAATGCGCCTGAATCATGATGTACCGCAATACACAAATCTGTTCATTCCTTAATTATCACTATTGTCTTGGTGGTGGTGTGGTAGAGTTTTTTCTTGAAATATGAGTGGGGAACTAGAAAAGGGTGTGTTTCTCTTACCCTTTTAGAGAAAAAAAGAACCTTCCGAGTCTGTAAATAAATGACGGAGTTCTGGGGCAACTATAAAAAAAACATAATCACTAGATAGTATATTATTACTTCCTCCGAGCCTTTTTCCCAAACTAGGTTGGAGGTCGGCTTTGAGTCTACTACGATACGGCTGAAATTCAGAGCGACTACCATCAAACCTCCACAACACAGGTACTAGGCGAAATCGAAGTTCTGTAGAAAGACTGTAGTCGGAATTTTTAGCACTCCAACTGCCCGTAACGAGTGCCAGAGATGTTCGCATGTGCTCTCCGAGGCACGGAAGGTTCTCAAAGTGTTAAGAATTACCAATTTATAGACTGACCTGGCTAGGATTGCTTAACTTTGCAACGTGTTAACCTTCTTGGTTACTACTTAGACACGAGCCTTCACTATTGTATTATTACTGTATAAAGATAAATATATTTTCGTACGTTTCATCACCCCACATAATATCTTATTAACCAGCCGTTACCCGTAGTTACATCCACGTTTGTAGTCACTGCTACGCTCCTGAAGGTCGTAGCGTGATGTTACATAGCCTATACTATAACCGTCCTCATTGCAATACTAGATCTAATATGGAAATATTCTTACGAATCTGACCAGCAGTTACAGAAATTAGTGCATTTAAACATAGAAAAAGTCTAACAAAAAACTCTTGACTTTTGAATTGATGTGATTAAAAGTTATAAAAAAATATTTACTACAAAAGTTATGGCTAAAAAAAAATAACTTGTTAAGTTAAATGTTAGAAATATAACGGATAAGGTTATTAAGTTCAGTAACAAAGGTAACGTTTAAACTAAGTTAATTTTATTCTTAGATTGTAAATATTGAATGATTGTTTTAGTTAAAAGTATGAGTAATGTTTTTTTTTTCATTTGTTGCCTGATATTATTTTAAATTATTTACGTTTTATTAGCGTTTAAAAACATCAGCTGAGTGACTTTAGTTGTTCTGAGTAGTCTTGTGCTTAACCGGACATCTGCAGGTTCGTACTAGCAGGTACAACGTACTAGCACACCGTAATAGTACTATTAGTACAATTTTAGTAGAAGTAGAAAACTTAAGCGTTTGTATTGATATTACTAACATTAATGAAACGGAATACCAAGTAATTAAAAAAAAAGTGTCAAAGAATTTTGCAGACCGGCTTTTTGTTTTTATTTTTTAATATAGATGGCTTTGTATTAGGCAGTTACTTTTTTGTGTGCGTTACCCCAGCAAAATAATGTCGAAAATGGTCATTTAAACGTTATAGATAATTAGTTGCTCCCCTTCTGTAATTGTTAAGCACATTTTTAAATTTGTTTCACTTAAACTTTTTTAGTTATTTCAAAAAAACATTTCCTGCTGGGGTAACGTTTGAAACGTTACCGCAGCCAGACATTTTCTTTTTTAATTGTAATATTGAAATAAATTTTAGCTAAATAATTAGTTATCTGGACTAGGTAAATGTTACAACTTATTTGGTATTTGTATTTTCTTCGGCTGCGAAGTTATTCGAAATCCTGCTGGAGTAACGTTTGTGGGTTTGCTGGATCTCTGAAACGGGTAAGCGGATTGTTACCATCTTTTGTACATAACTTCTTAAGGATTAGTTTTAATTTGTTCGACAATAAAATAACAAAAATAATGGACCGTTTAAAAATTATTTAGGTAAGTATGAAAACACTTAAATACGTCCTAACACTTTAAATAAGACCTCTTAAGACTCATTTGAAACGTTATTCTATTGCTTGTAACTACCTTCAAATGTATACGAATTTTTGTAGGAATACTGTAAGTGACTAAAAAGTTATGATGAAATGTAGCTCTCCACGTTCACGATCAAAATGTGTGCGGCCTTTTTTGGCCACCGATAAACCTGTGTGTGGATATATAAACTGAATGTTATGCCAATAATTAGTTGTTTAGTTCAGTTGTCTACCTGTAGAATTTCAGCGTCGTACATATAATAATTTACGAGATAATTAAATAAAAGTCATTAGAAGGTGCAAGACCGTGGTAATCCGACCATGTTTAGGTGGTTACAAAAAAGCGATCACCCAGTACATTGCGCTGTCTTTTAAAATGTTTAGTGTAATACACCTTACGATTTCGGTACAGTTGCGTACAGTGTTAAATACATTCAATATTTATTCATTATTATTACCTATTATTTATTTTGTTTTTTTCCCTAATTGATCTTAAGCACTAGTTTCTTTACTTAAAATTTATTTAGTCTTTTTTACTACCGGAGCTACAATCAACAGAAAATCTGCACTGGTCCGCTAAAATTATAAATATGTAGATACATGTATGAACGATTCGCCTGACTGCAATAAAACGAAAATTTAAACCAATAAGAAATCGTTTCATTTCTTTGATTTTTTTTTTGTAAAGAAATAACACTAAAGTAATTGTATTTTATTTTGGGGTGTATAGAGCTTAGACTTGAATGCATCAAAATATTTAAAGCAACAAGTTATCTTCAATAAGTTAAAATAGACCGAATAGTAGAAGAATAAATTAGAATAAATTAGAAGAAGTTGTAAATTAGAATGCATCAACATTGCATCGCCCAACAGACGTGTACCTCGTAAGAGTAGGTAATATTGTTCTGTGGTCTATACCTAGAACCGAGAATTATCTATACCTATGTACCTAACGTTAAGCGTTGAGCCCGTTACTGTTGATTTCTGTTAAAAACGAACAGTTGTTGAATGATATTTTGATATAATAACGGTAATTTAATTTATCGAGTGAAAGTGATACATTTTTATAGATAAAATTATTGGTCAGATAATATTTGTCAATCAAGAATCGCTGATAATACATCCTTCGCTAGAACGCGGGAGGGGAGGGGCAAAGGGATACTTCATTGTTTGCAATTTGCATCTAGTGCACTAAACTTGACCCTTAGGCAGATAATATACGTGTTGTAAAGTACGTGTGCGCTTCCGCTTTCTATTTTTGCAAATATTTATCGTATTCTTGAGAGTTCTTCAATATGTGTGTACCTAATTACTAATAATAGGCATTAATGCTAATTCGATTCAATTTAAGTAATTGTCAATTCTTGTCTTAGGATATTAATTACTAATGCTAATATTGAAATTTTGTTCAGGGTGAACAAATTAAAAACGATCATAACTTGTAGGTAGGTATATCACTTATTACTAATTTTACATAAATAATTTATTTTATTATAATTTAACTCACCGCGATTTTGTGATCAAATATTTTATTTTCTCCAACATTATTACAGAAATAATGCAATACAGAGTTTGTTCGCGATATGCTAGCCTAAGTCGATTCATCACTTAAAAAAATCCCCATCTATTCACAAAATACCTATTTACAACGCATACGTTACACTCTTCAAAACTTATCATTTCATTTCATATTTCTTAAATTACCTATACCTACCCTAAAATTAAACTTCAATTAACAAATACTACGCAGGTACCAATTCTATGAACAACTATAAACAATTCACCTAAACATTACGAGAAAACAAAAGCATTCAAAATAATACCTAATCTCCCGGCTGATTACTAATTATGCAATAAACAATCCTAAATAAAAAATATTTAAAAAACATGTAGTTTTTTGTAACACTTATGTACATATCCGTAGTAAACTTGCAAATAATATCCTACATATTTTAAAAGCCAGCACAATGTACTGGGTGATCGCTTTTTTGTAACCACCTAAACATGGTCTGGTTACCACGGTCTTGCACCTTCTAATGACTTTTATTTAATTATCTCGTAAATTATTATATGTACTACGCTGAAATTTTACAGGTAGACAACTGAACTAAACAACTAATTATTGGCATAACATTCAGTTTATATATCCACACACAGGTTTATCGGTGGCCAAAAAAGGCCGCACACATTGTGATCGTGAACGTGGAGAGCTACATTTCATCATAACTTTTTAGTCACTTACAGTATTCTTACGAAAATTCGTATACATTTGAAGGTAGTTACAAGCAATAGAATAACGTTTCAAGTAAGTCTTAAGAGGTCTTATTTAAAGTGTTAGGACGTATTTAAGTGTTTTCATACTTACCTAAATAGTTTTTAAACGGTCCATTATTTTTGTTATTTTATTGTCGAACAAATTAAAACTAATCCTAAAGAAGTTATGTACAAAAGATGGTTACAATCCGCTTACCCGTTTCAGAGATCCAGCAAACCCACAAACGTTACTCCAGCAGGATTTCGAATAACTTCGCAACCGAAGAAAATACAAATACCAAATAAGTTGTAACATTTACCTAGTCCAGATAACTAATTATTTAGCTAAAATTTATTTCAATATTACAATTAAAAAAGAAAATGTCTGGCTGCGGTAACGTTTCAAACGTTACTCCAGCAGGAAATGTTTTATTGAAATAACTAAAAAAGTTTAAGTGAAACAAATTTAAAAATGTGCTTAACAATTACAGAAGGGGAGCAACTAATTATCTATAAAGTTTAAATGACCATTTTCGACATTATTTTGCTGGGGTAACGCACACTACTTTTTTTTCAATATAGGAATAATCACACAGTTCTTGATTATTTTTAATGTGTTGTCACCCCATAAACCATAACAGTTTGACTTTTAAATACGAATTTTTAGATTACTTAACATTAAACTTTTAATAATAATAATAATAAACGTTACTCACTAACACTAGCAACACTTACCTACATCAGTCGGAATTTCTTCACATTTTCGAATTAAAACAAGTTTTCTATACATTTACAATCCCGTACAATCATTAAAAGCTATTAAACTGTATTGAA